CAGGCAATAGTGCAAGGCTTCCCACATTGGTGTGTCCTCAAGCAGATAGCGCCAGTTCTTATGAAGTAGACTGTCCGTCTGAGAGCAGGACACCGAACCAGGAAGGGCCTCAGAGGAAGTCTCTAGTGGCCGTATAGCTGGCCGTAGTATGTTTCAACTTGGGATGGGAATTGATCAGTGTCAATTTTCGGAGTTCAGAAAATACATGCCAACCTACTTACATATTGCAAAGTGAGAAAAAGGAGGAGATCGCAGTTACTAGCAGGGCCTAACTGGGAATTGAACCCAGGACCACCTCCAGAAACAGTAGAATCTACTGGGGGAGGAACCCCGAAGGAGGTATCATGCTACTAGACCATTAGGCCGACACAACAAACCATGAAACAGCCAATTAGAATCGGCACAAAACATATATTTCGTGGAAGGCCACACATGGGATTACTTAAGCAGATTACTCTACTGTATATAAGTACTAGTAGTGCACCTTTAAAACTTTGAGCTTCGTCGAACCATATCTTCTACCATAATCGTATAGGCCGAACCCCGCGGTGAAAGGATCTCGGGCATACATTCCCTCAGGAACGGTCCATCCAATCATTTCTACCAATCTACCTACATACCTGACATCATCCATTTTGAAATGCTTCATTGGGAATGATTTATTGGAAATATTCCCATATTTGAGAATACTTATCAGTGTGAGGGAGAATCAAACGGGCTATCCACAAATGGATCAAGACGTGCTTCTAGCTAAAAGTAAATCCCTTGAATTTATCACACAACAAGGCTCAACGCAGCGCCGAACGCCGAACTTGAGGTAAAATCTTATGTGGATTCTCGGACCTGAGTACTGAGTATTGGCAAGATGACGGACTTGAACCTCGTGAGACTTCTTCTGCTTGCGATCCCTGGTTTTCGAAGTGTGCCTGGTTTACTTATAATCTATTTCTAGTGTTTATGTCCCAAGTTGGACAATGGTAAATGATACATACATCAAGAGCACAATATAAGAGATAAGATACACAGGCTTTAGCATTGGGATCGTCTCATCACATCATCTAACTTGCGTCTCCACAGATCCATAACCACTCCTCAAGTTCTCAATCCGCGAGCTCCAGTTAATTTGTTTCCAGAAACGTTGTCGTTGCGAGGACCAGATTGTGTTAGTAGTGTAACATATCGATCACCATTTCCGGGTTTATCAGCCTCCGAGTGCGAGCAAGCTCGTGACCGTAGTCTGCAAACAACCAGTTCAGGATTGCTGCGAGGCGGATCCCAGCCTGTGCCAGCAGCTTCTCGATGACGAGATCATCCTTGATGACGCCTGC